AGCAACCAGACTCCAGAAAAACCTGGAAAGACTTGTATGGACTGATACTGAGTGAAGTGAACAGAACCAGGAGAACATTGTACACAATAACAGCCACACTGTGCAATGACTAACTTTGATAGACTAGCTCTTCTCAGCAATGCAAGGATCTAAGACATCTTCAAAAGTCTCATGATGGAAAATGCTGTCCACATCCAGAGAAAGAACTATGGAGTTGGAATGCAGATCGAAGCACACTCTTTGCTCTTTGTTTTTCCTCTTCTGTTTTGTTTTGTTTCTTCTTTCTTGTGGTTCCTCCTATTGATTCTAATTCTTCTTTACAACATGACAAATGTGAAAATATGTTTCATAGGAATATATGCGTAGAGCCTATATCAGACTGCATGCCGTTTTGGGGAGGAAGGTGGGGAAGAAGGGGGAGAAAATTTAAAACTCAAAAGCTTATGGAAGTGAATGCTGAAAATTAAAAATAAATTAATTAAAAATACGAAAAAAACATAAAAAAGAAAGCAGCACATTGGTTAGACATTGATGATCTCTTCTTAGTTTGTCCTCCTATATTTTTTGTATTTTTTTTGTAAAACAGGTGTCTCTAAGATTTTCTATTCTTTTGAAATATCGTCCTCTAAGTTATTTTGAAAACTGATCCCTTAGTGCCTTTACACTCAGCATAGTTTCTTGTGTATGTAATTAGTCAGATCCAAGCCCTCTTCTCAATTTCAACTTGTGTCATCATCATACGTGATGAACGTAGCAATCTATTACTAAGTTGGCAGTATCCAAATGTGGTGTCTGTCTGTCACCATCCATGCCATCATTACTGATGTGAACATAACACTAAAAAGATACTAGTAGATTTGTCTATTATACTAGGAACTGCAAAAATATTGTTGACTAATGAATCAATCCCAGTGTGGCATAGTGGATAGAGTCAGAGTTAGGAAGGCCTAGGTTTAAGTCCCATCTCTGACAGATACTGGCTGTGTGACCCTGGGCGAATCATAACCTCTCACTGCCCCCAAGCCATTCTCTAAGATTCTTAACTTAAAGAGTAGGCCCTGTGATTTCATCTATGTTTCTCTGATACTCCATTTCTATGCTATTCCTATGCTCAGTTGGGCTTGTTATACAACAGCAACTTTATTATCCATCAGGTACAGCTTAAGGCTTAGCTGATGCCTTCATCTAAAGTAGTGGTATGCTATTTATTCTTATGCTAAGTTTGATCAAGGCCTATCCAAACCCTACTCTTTTGACAGCATTTTTTTTTTCACCTCTTAGTAGCTCTTCTCCTCTCCTTTGCTTTCCTCTCTTTAACAGAAGGAGTTCCCTCTTCTGGGGAGAAGGTCTTACCAGCACCAGGGATGAAATTACAAGGGCCGGTTTAAAAAAAAGTCTGAATACTGGAGAAAGAATATTATATAATCAATTCTTAATAATCATATGAGTGCTCTCCCTCTCACATGATCTTGTATGTATTTGTATTTATTTTCTTTATATTTACTCTGTATTTATATGTATACTTGCTGTGTCCCCTGTTAGAAGGTAAGTTCCTTGTTTCATCTGTTATATTTCCATCTCTAGCTCCTAGCTTAGTGTTTGGCACATAGTAGGAACTTAAATACTGCTGACTGACTGATGCTAATGGAGTTAAGTAGTGATTCAAGTAATCCAAAAAGTTGATAATAAAAAACAAATCACTGAGTTTGGCTTACTTTCGGTGAATATTATTTTAAACTTATATTTGAATATAAAATATGTCCAATACTCTGAAAATTCCCAATGCTCCAAACAAAGTAATACATCAAAATGATAGGTTTGGGTTAGATGATCCCTTAGATATCACCCAGATCTAACATTTACTGATTCTGGGAATATAAGCCACATCATGAAGATCTGGATTAGACAGAACCTGCTTACTTTCTCAAATTCACAGATCCCTTCATTTTATAGCTCTGCCTATGTCTCCTCTGGGGCATAATGGAAATCAGTGATATCAGTGTGGTATAATGGAAAAATTACTGAACTTGAAGTCAGGAAGATATAGATTCAAATCCTACCTCTGACATTTGCGGCCCAGACAAGTAATTTACCTCTCTGAGCCTTGGTTTTATCTGTGAAAGTGGTGCTAACAATTTTTATAGGATCTTCTCCCCAGGCTTATGGTGAGGCTCAAATGAGACAATTTATCTAAACAAAAAACAAAAAAAACAAAAAACAGACAACCTATTTGCTCGGCAAATTTTAAATAGCTATACGAATGTTAGTTATTTTGTTGTCACTAATTTAGATTGATGCAAAACAAAAAAAAAAAACACCTCTAGCCATATCTTCTCTCTACATGTGCATCCGTTGCTTGATGTTTGCTTCAAAGGAAGTAAGTATGTTCCCCATTAGAGAGGCGATGGATTTAGGGTGCAGAATGAGATATATATACACACATATACACACACACACACATATATATATATACACATGCACATACACATACACACAGACATGTATGTATTTTTGAAGGAATTCATTTTGCCTACTATGGGAAATTTGTTTTTCTTTTTTTCTTTTCCAATAGGGTAAGAGGTGGGAAGGAGAGAAAATAGATTTTGTTTTTTTGCTAAATAGAGATGGGGGGAGCTACAAATGTGAAATGTTGTAAGTATCTTTGGATGAGATCACAGTACTATTAGTTTTACTAAACTATTTTTTTAAATAAAAGACTTTTCTCTAAGGAGTAATCTGTAAATATTTGTAATGTAAAAACAAAACATACTGAAAAAACTTCAAAAACAAAACAAAAACAGAGGTAAACTAAACTTTGAATTCTTTCTAGATGCCAAGAGACTACAGGGTATAGTTAAGAATAATAAATGATCATCATTTTAACAAAAGGGTTATTTAAAGTAAAAGAAAGTGATAATGTCACCAGAAACTACCAAAGGCATTATTTAAGTGGAACAGATATCACAAGCAAACTGAAATCTACATTTTTTTGTGACTGATATACACAAAAGGCAAGATTTATAGATCATAAGAAACTGAAGGCAAGATTTGTAGCTCATAAGAAATAAGGTGGCTAAATGAATATGCATAACCCTGAAGAACTAGTAATATAAATTCAACAAGCATTCATTTAAGGATCTGTCATATTCCAGGTACTCAAAGCAGACACTAGAGACAGAAAAATAAAACAGGCATTCCTCAAGGAAATTACATTCTACTAGTTTAGTATTTTATGCTTAACATCTAGAACGGCTGAAGCTTTAAAAAAATTTTGCATGCTAAAAGAATTTGCTTAATTGTTTACTGTTTTGTTTTAGAAGGCAGGAAATAGGTCATTATACTCTGCATTACCCTGTTGTACCTGTTAAAACCATCAGGAAGGGTAGGCAATTGATTTGTGGAACGGGAAGGAAGCAGCAGATATTACCACTAACATTGATACATCTCTCTGAGGCTTACCATCACCACCACATAAAAGCTGAGCTAGCTTCAAAACTAGCTATTTCTAATCTGAGCTATTTCTAAACTAGCCCCATACTGCAGAGCTGGCTGCTTTGTCAAAGAAAGAGGAGGAGATTCAAGGGAGACCTTTGCAGTATAAAACAAGGTTGCCAAGGGAGTTTTGGTTCCAGAGTTAGCTTTTGCGTATCTGTGTTCCTTTGTCTCCTGTGGGTCCCCAGGAAGACTACTGGGGATTGGGTTAGACACAAGCTGTGGAGGTCTTTACACACATCAATAGAAGAAGACAATGATGATCCTGTGTCATAAGATCAGAGACAGATACATCATTGAAAACCCTTTCTGATAAATGGTAAAAGGATAAAAGGTGGTTTTCAAAAGAAGAAGTCCAAGCTATCAACAATTATATGAAAAAAATGTCCCAAAACAAATAAATGCAAATTAAAGCAATTCTGAGGTCCTACCTCAAAACTGTCAGAGAGGGAAAGTTGACACAAAATGAAAATGACAAATGTTGGAGGGGTTGTGGGAAAACAAGGCATATTAATGATGATGGAGGTTTGAACTGGTCCATTTAGCTGGAAAGCAATTTGGAACTATGTCCAAAAAGTCACTAAAGCGAGTATACCCTCTGACCCAACGACATCAATATACTATGCCTATGCCCCAAAGAGACCAAGGAAAGAGGAAAAGGAACCTTAAGTAAAAAAAAATAAAAAAATAAAAAAAATATATATATAGCTACTCTTTTTTGTAGTAGCAAAAAAAAAAAAACCCTAGAAACTAAGAGGATATGTATTTATTGGGGAACGGGTAAGAAAATTATGGCACATGAACGTAACAGAATAATTTTGTGAAAAGACAGAATGGATACTTTCTGAGGAAATTGGGAAGACACATAAACTAACATAGAATGAAGCAAATGTAACCAGAATGATTTACATAATGACAACATTATAAGGAAAAATAACTTTGAAAGACTTAAGAACTCTGGTTAATGCAATAACAAACAATTCCAGAGAACCAATGAAGCATGCTGCCTACCTCCTGTCAAAGAGATCAGGCACTCAAGGTGGAGAATGAGACATACATTTGTGGACAGGACCAATACAAGACTGCTTTGCTTTACTATAAATCTGTTGGGAGGATTTTCTCTCTCTGTGTGTGTGTGTGTGTGTGTGTGTGTGTGTGTGTGTGTGTGTGTGTTCACTTGGAGTACGGAGAAGTAGGAGGGAGAAAAAAAATGCTTGAAAAAATAATTAAAAAAAAAAAACTGAAACAAGACAGTTCTTTCTGAGCCCCACTCCCCCCGCCTTACTCTTTTAGTTGTGTTTGTGAGAGAGGTCACAGGAATCTATCATTCAGAGGTTGTGGTATGGAGACAGTGCCTGATACATGGGATCTTCATATAACTGGTATTCAGTTATAAATTAATTTTTCTAAGGACACTTAAGGATTTCCCAGTCTTATCACCTTTTGGCCTGAAAGTCTAGCAAATCATTGTATACTAGAGGTAAATGAATGAACATGAGTTCTCTTACTGTCTCTGTGGACTTCGATTCTGCGAAAATTCTGAATCACTGTCTTTTGAGGATGGAGAAACTTTGTAGGTATAAAATACATCTTCCGTTTCTGTAAGGTATGTTGTTTCACTTGCAAGGTTATCCGCAGATGAATGCCGTGGTTTTCTAATTTCATGACGTAATCTAGGACTTCGCCTAAAGGAAAAGGAATGAGTTAGTGAAATCAAATTCAATTTGAAGTTTTATTAAATACAAATGATGTTACTTTATAAACTATCTTACTAGGATTAGAGGCTCACCATGCCATTAGGTAGAAACACCATTATGTTAGGCAAAACAATGATATATGGAGCAGCTAGTTCCACAAGAATAATGTTGAGGAGGGAAGAAAAGCAGGAAGAAGGGAAGTGGAGACATATATGAGCAGCAAAGGAGAAAAGAGAGGAAGAAAAAAGGGGAAAAGAAAAGAGAGAAGTCAGAGTGACAGAGCTGTAAGGAACCTTAGATATCCTCCTTATATACATAAGGATACCGAGGCCCAAAGTATCACAGTATTAAGTAGCAAAACTGAAATTTGAACCCTGGTATTCTGACTCCATATTACATTCAGTGCTCTTTCCACTATATCACATTGAAGACAGAGACAAATAGAGAAGAAGAAAAAGGAAGAGAAGGATTAAGAAGAAGATAAAATATAATGTAACAGAGGAGAAGAGGAAGAAGAAAGGGGCAGAAAAGGGAGAAGGGATGGAGGGGAAAGGTGTGGTGAAAATGGTGTCCTTGTGATGTTTTAAGGGATGTTTCTATATCTATGGGATTATGTATTTATTGCCTTTTGGTGTGACATGTGAGTTAGTGGTTAAGCAGAAAGACTATGCTGGAATGTCAAAATTCTGACATCAATCAGAAATTTTCCTGAATAGCTTGAAATGAGCCTGAGATGGCAACCTTGACTAATAAACTTCACCTAGAATATCCAACTAGGCCAATCCAAAATTAGGATGGATAGCCTGGGGGAAAAAAAGTCCATTCCCTTAGATGACATTTTTTTTCCTTAGGGCTTGGGAAAATGTTAACTACGCATGATACTTTGAGAAGCTTGCCAGCTACCCAGCTGGTGTTGAAAATAACATTTTAGATACACTGTTGATTACCTCAAACCTATTATTGTTAGTTCTGTGAGAACAGCACTATATCATGCTTCAGGAGGAAGGATATCACATTATGATGTTTATTGATGAACTAAATTCCAGGCAACCCATGGAACAGAAAAACAAGGAAGCACATTATAATTATTGTGTCTGTTTTAAATCACAAATATGCACATGGTTCTTGGAACTCATCAATGTGTACATTCCTTTCAGGGAAGCAAATCAAAGACCATCTATGCTTATCCATGGTTTGCAAGTTTTATCTATGACCTCTCACGAGTTCACCATAGGGCTACAGGCTTTCTTCTATTTCTCCTGACAATATGTGGATACGAGTGGAGTACAGAGGCTATCTACTGACTACCCCTTATTCTCACCACATAACCAGACCATCTTCTTTACTAATCATGTATTTTTTAATGACATTCTTTTATTTTAATTCTTCTTTGTAACTCCTTGTTATATGTTGCACTCTGTTCACAACCACCATGTGCTTCTCTGTTGCCTTCTTGGTGAAACCAATTTTTAATATCCTTGATGCATGCATAGAATATTTTCAGAAAAAATTTTTATAGGTGGTAAAGTAGGCATACAGGTTGGTAATAGTTGATGTAGTCTTGATTGCTTTTTTTGGTATTAATAAGTTCCAAAAAAAAGGTGAAGGGCTTAGAACCTGCCACCATAATGGAAGAGACAGTTGCTGAGGCTAAGAGAAATCCTTGAGAAACTTCAACAAAATTCAGTAAAGTTTAGTTCCTAGAGACTGGTGAATAATATTAAGCCACAATTTTTCCCCCTGATGGTCAGCCTGTGAAATCCTATCTGCTGCTATAAGGGACCCAAGCCAAGCAGGGGTCCACTCAGCCTCATACTGTTCAGGATTAACAGAAATACTACACTCACACAAGTATAAGTGTTTAATAATTTTCTATATGTATACCACAAAGAAAAAAATTCCACTAAAATCTCCAGGAAAAAATAAAGTCTAAGATTTTTTTTCCTATGCCTTCGAGATTTTCCCCTCCTTCAGACATCTTACGAATCAATCCCTTTAGAACCTCAAAACTGTTTCACTTCCAGCATGGATCTCCTCTATGTACACTTGGTATAATCGAGATGCTTTTCCATCTTTTGTCTCTGAAATGCCATTCTTATCTCCTCTGTTAGCCCACCTGGGATTGATATGTTAAAAAAAAGTTAGTTATTAAAATCTTTGTGGATCTTTCCCAGATTTCTTCTTATTGATAGCCCTGGGATGATTTTGCTTAGCTGGGTCTCTTGTTCTCCATTTTACTACTTCCTCTGTTTTACAAGGCAATACCATCACAGTCTTCCATCATCCTTCTCCAGAAAATCTTAGAAACAAATTTATAACCTAAACCAGCGTTAGACTTGGTTACCAACTCTCTGGAATATAAAGTCAAACATTTACCTATTAAGGCATTTTGAGGTATCTTTGTTACGGCAACTGATTTATATCAGTTAAATTTTTTTTTATGAAATTATTGTAGACTGTATGTTCTTTCTTCCACCCACATCCTATTTTTCACCATCAGTAACTTGTTTAAATAGGTCAGGATGGAATAATGTTAATAAAATTCTCTTTTTCTCATTTTTATTCTTTCTTTAAGCTCTGTACTAATTTTGATCTTTGCTCTAATAAGGTGATGGCTTGACTATAAACAGACAGCTTATTCAGTAATGACTATCACATCAGTAATAGTCATTTCCTGTCTGTTAAAATATAATCAATTTCATTTTTGTGATGTATTCAGTGCTTGTCATATCCCATGCCCACCTAGTCTTTTCTCATAGAAAGTATTCATGATATACAAAGTATGAGACTTCTGTACAGTCTCAATCTTTAGCCTCTCTTGTTCCTTTCTCCTGATGCATTTTCCAAGATTTCTTGCCATCTTATTTCCATTTTCCTTTAAAGCCACTGAGCATCAAAGAAAAGTTGTTGTAACTTGGAGGGTCTTACTAATTTTTCCATTCACCTTCTCTACCTCTCCATCCTCTGTGGTAGATGCTGGCCTATAATCTGCTATTATTTCCACGGTGATCCTTTTGGAAACAATTCAGAGTGCTGCAAAATGAGCTAACTAAACATCCCGTGAAATAATAATTCCTATTCCCTTTAGGTGGATAATTAAAACGCTACTCTGACAATTTCACTGGCTCTTCAAGGAGAACCTGTGGGCCATCCTTCTGTACAGCTGCCAACTTCCTTCTTTCTTCTGGTTTGGTTTATAACAAGAAGGTCAAGATTAACACTCATTAAGTTCCTCCAATAAAATGTCCGCTCATGGGCCATTAGACAAAGATCTATCTAGAGGACAAGTAGATAAATTTAGAGACGGTCTAAAAATGATGATTCTCTGCACCCTGTGCTCCCTTCTCTGCCCCCTTGCTGCCATGACCACAGAAGTGGGAGGTGCACACACAGGACTAAGCCCATTTTGTATTTTTCTTTTTTTCATGGACTGCCATGGCCAAATAATTCATTACCAAATGGTCAGCCTATTGGCCTCTGTATTTAATTAATCTGGTCTTTAGAAAAGCAGAATCAGTCTGTTTGCAGGACCATACTTGAAAGCCTTTCTGGTATGGTAAACCAGCTAGAACTCTGTGGTCTGCAAACATAGCCTTGATCCCCATATATCAGTTCCAAGCCAGAATGAGCCATCAGAATTACACTTTCTGGAAAAATATCTGCACACTTAATAAAAACCTTGAATAGAGGGTCAGTGTAGAATGGCGGCTAGAGTCTAGAAGACATGGCCCAAGCCTTCTCTCTCACACATAACAGCTGTGAGAGCAAAGACAAGTTACTTAATCTTTAACTGTCACAAGGCAACTCTCAAAGACAAAAAGTCATACAGTCTATCTGCATTGGTGGAAAGACGGTCCATAGTAGGAGTACCCTACACCGATGAAACCATTTAATAAAAAACTTTGTTGAGGTTACTCAATGGCATACACCTATGAGTGGAGTACATGAGCTATACCGTACGGCCTTTGCGAAACCTCTTTTGGTTGCTTAGAGCCCTTTTAAAATTCTTGGCTCTATTCTAAATAGCTGATTTGCCCTGTACATGACCTCTAGATGAGAATTATTACTGTACTTGCTAATTTTACCTCTTCTAAGCTTCAAGGTGTAAACTTCCAACTAGTTATTAGATATCTGGCTTTGGTGAACAAGTCTGCTTTATTCCATCACTTCATGGCTTCCTAGACTGTCAATCACAACTCCTCTAAGGCAGGATTATTAAGATTATTTCTTGGCTGAAATAATTCTTTTTAGTTTAGCTTTATAACAAACCCCTCAACCCTCCCACCCCTACCAAACCACCACTATGTATTTTCTTGATTATTTCGGTTACCTTTCTCTGGGTTGTGTTTGGTTGTTGTTATGGTTGTTGTTTTAATCTTTTATTTTAGTTCCTCTAAAACTCTGAATTATGGAATGCAATCAACTCAGAAGAGCTAAAATTATGAACAATCTGAAGGGTGATGGAAAGGTTTTGGTGGGTATAAGCAGGCTTGTAGCATGTTACCCATGGTGACTTGCGTGCAAGAAGTAAAGGAAAAGATATGAATGATGGGAAAAGGAGGTGGGCTGGTCATATAGCAAGAACGATGAATGGCCTGAGTGACACATTGGTACCCTTAGGGTATTATTACTCACAGTTATTTAGCGCTTTAAGGTTTTCTCACAACAACCCTGTGTGGTAGGGAAAACAAAAACAGAAGAAGAGGAAGGCCTCTAGTAATTAGAGAGCTCTTCTACTGATGATTTATGGGAAAATGTGGATGAGAAGTACACAAGATGAGAAGGGACAAAGTACTGTAGTCTATTTATTTCAGGTATAGATGGATCATAGGTGACTTTTTTTTTTACAACAGGATAATATTTTTCATTTCATTTACCCTTTTTACAATGCCCCACCCTTCCGTTGTTCAGCAATATTTAGGCTTGAGGTCTATATAAAATTATGTACAAAAGCTCAAAAACACTTTTCCTGGGCTCTAAAGGACAGCTCCAACTTCATCATTTTAGGAATATTTGGATATATCCCTAAATCCATGGCTACCGCTGAACGACACATATTTTACACTAGTATTATGTAGCTAGTTATTTTAAATATTTAAGACACAATCACTTCATGCGTTAACTGAAAAGAAACAAAATCTGATCACTAGGTGTGTTACAGTTCAGTTCTTTTCTTTATATGAATTTGCATTGTGAAAAATAGATGAATGTTCATTTATAAATGGCGAGGTGAGAGAAATGACTTACCAACTGGGAGTAATTGGAGGAGATCGAGAAGGAAGACTTTTGGTTTCTAAATGCTCTACTGATAAAGATCTCCTCTTGGTTGGGTTCCACACCATCCCACCTATCACCTTCCTGCAGTACTGGTTGTTTAAAGACCTAAAAAAAAAAGATGTATTTTGATTTTTACATGAAGACGTAAAATGTAAATTAGCACTATCTATGAAGAACACAAGCTGTCAATGGAGGGTTACCTTTTCACCACCACTTAAGAAGGGTAGATTTTCTCACAAAAACTACATCTCCAGGTCCTGACTTTTCCATACTCTATTTCGCCCATAGGTGATTCCACACAGATGATTCAAAAAATTTCAATCAGGCTTTATTACAATATAAAGGAATTTGAGATTACTAATGATCACAGTTCAAGATTGTAAGCTCAGTCTTAGACAGCTTAGTTTGGACACAGCTTTAGCCTCGAGGGAAAGGTAGGTATCCAATAGTATTTTCATGAATTCCTTATTTTCATTTGCCCTTTATGAAGGTCCTGATAAAATTATAGTTCTTTGTACCAGTCAAGTCTGAGTTTACACTTCGGTGTCAAGCCAAGTTGCCACTGTTAATCCCCTTAAGTTATTGGAAGGAAAAAAGTCCCAAAAAACAAGGTCCCTTTCTGTGTAAAACCCTAGTTTATCTTTCTGGGGTTTCTGATTCTACTCTTCCCCTCTTCCTTCCCAATTCCCCATCGAGCCACTTTCCTCAACAACTTGCCACAATTCCAAAAGATTCTGACCTAAAAAAACAAAACAAAACAAAACAAACCACAAAAAAACCAAAACCCAAAATGCATTCTCTGTGCAGGCCTTGTTCTTGGGCCCTGCTCAGGATATTGTTCAAATAATTTCTTGGACTCCATTAGCATTTCCAAAGTTTCCTCTCCATAGGTCTCCTCGGCCTCCATCAGCAATTCTAAGAGGCCTAACAGGCTCTGGTTCCACCACTCTGAATCAGTATGTACTCAATTCTCTCTACTTTGTTCTCTCTCTTCACATCTAAAAAAGATTTCTAAAAACCTGCTGTCCATTCTTGACTTTCCCAAGCGGTCTCATTAATCCACTCTATACTGCTTCTCCCTCTCAAGCCAGCTCTGTGCCTGGTGTCATCATGGACTGCAAATGACCAGGCAGCAGACTTGTGTGCCTTATAAGGGGCGTCCAATCTCGAGGGGGGTGTGTGTGTGTGTGTGTGTGCGCGCGCGCGCGTGTGTGTGTGTGTGTGCGATGTAAAGCAAAGGTATCTAACACACCAAGGCCAGAACCAGATTAAAATATAATTGGGAAATATTTAACAAAATAAATAAAAATACAATAAAACATAGAAAAATATTTATAACACAAACATAGGTAACATATGTTAAAAGTAAGTCAATATGCAGTCTGCAGGGATCCTTACGTAGGTCAATATTAAGTAAAAATACTGCAAGTTAAACAATTTTTTCTGTGTTGTCTGTGGCTTCCACAAAACTTCCTCAAAATTCCCATTTAAGTGATGAGGAAAGTCAAAATGTGCAAGGGATAACTGTATAACTATTCGCTAAAAATAAAAAAATTCACCTGGAAGGATTAATCAACACTAGGGAAAGGAACAAGCATTTAGTAAGTACACCTACTATGTGCCAGGCACCGTGCTAAGTGCCGATCCCAATATAACTCTCGAAGGCTGAGCAAACTACTAAAACATCATTTCTCTTCCACCCAGACTCTGGATCTCTTCTACCACACCCATGCTCTTCACCCTGAAGCCTCACTTCAGCCCTGGAATTTCACACACTTCAAGAACTTTCTCTTTCTCACTCTCATTCTCTCTCTCCTACCTCTCTCTTTCTCTCCCCCACCTTCCTCTCTCTCTTTCTTCTCTCTCTCATTGGAAAGGTCCTACCAAAAATCTCCATTTAAGGAGGACTCCCAGATCCACTTTGTCTCATTCTCCCCAGGCTGTACCCAGGACCTTCTCTACCATGGCTCCTTCCCTCCCACTGGATAGCTGGGTTCTTCTTCCTCCATCCTTCCTGCCTGCCCTTCCCCCTTATGTGTAGTCATCCTCTATTAGAATTTAAGTTCCTTGAGGGCAGGGGCTGTTTTTATTCCTATACGTACTTTGAGCTTAACGCAATACTTGGCACAGAATAAGTACTTCTACTATTTCAGTTCTTTCAGTCATGTCTGATTTTTCATGACCCCATTTGGGGTTTTCATGGCAAAGATACTAGTTTGCCATATCCTTCTCCAGATCACTTTTTTTTAAAAGATGAGGAACTAAGACAAATAAGGTTAAGTAACTTACTCAGGGTCACACAGCTAGTTAAGAGCCTGAGGCCAGATTTGAATTCATGAAGATGAGTATTCATGATTTCAGGCCTGGTGCTCTCTCTACTGTACCACCCAGCTAGTACTTAAAAAACCAAAAAGGTTTATTAATTGATATTACTACCTCAAACAATACAATAGAAAACACCAGCCTTCTGGCTGCTGTTCTTAAGCAATGAGAACAATGCAGGATGATGTTGATGAAAGTGGCCTTTTTTAAAAAAAAAATTGTATTTGTTCTCAGTTTTCAACATTTACTTCTATAAGATTCTGAGTTCTAATTTTCTTCCCCTCCCTGTGCTACCCCTCCCCACAATGGTGTGAAATCTGATACAGGCTCTACATGTACAATCACATTAAACATATTTCCACATTAGTCATGTTGTGAAGATGAATTAGAACCAAAGAGAAAAACCACAAGAAAAAAAAAAGAGAAAATAGTATGCCTCGATCTGCATTCATACTCCATAGTTCTTTCTCTGAATGTGGATAGCATTTTCAATGATGAGTCTTCTGGAATTGTCTTAACTCCCTGTATTTCTGAGAAGAGTTAAGTCTATCAAAATTGGTCATCACACAATGTTGCTGTTACTGTATACAATGTTCTCCTAGTTCTGCTCACTTCACTCAGAGAGGGGGAGTTTGAGATCCCCCACTAGTATAGTTTTACTGTCTATTTCCTATTGTAACTCACTTAACTTCTCCAAGAATCTGATGCTGTACCAGTTGGTGCATATGTTTAGTATTGATATTACTTCATTGTCTATGGTACCTTTTAGCTGGATGTACGTTTCTTACCTCTTTTAACTAGATCTATTTTTGCTTTTGCTTTGTCTGAGATCAGGATTGATACCCCTGGCTTTTTTACTTCGTAATATATTTTGCTCCAGCCTTTTACTTTTACTGTGTGTATCTCTCTGCTTCAAATGTGTTTCTTGTAAACAACATATTGTAGGATTATGGTTTTTAATCCATTCTGCTACCCACTTCCGTTTTATGGGAGAGTTTATCTCATTCATGTTCACAGTTATGATTACTGTGTCTCTCTCCACCCTACTTTGCCCCATTTACGCTTTTTTTCTCTCCTTTCTCCCTTTCCCTCCTCACTGGAGTTTTACTTTCAACCACCGCCTCCCTCAATCTGCCCTCCCTTCTATTAGCCCCCTCCCTTTTCTTCCCCTTTACCCTCCTACTTCCTATAGGATAAGATACATTTCTATACCCAAGTAAGCGTGTATTTTTTTCCCTCTTTTAGGGAAATCCGATGAGAGTAAGGTTCAAACAAAACTTGCCTCCCCTCCCTTCTTTCCCTCTACTGTAATAGGTCTTTGTGCCTCTTCATGTGATTGTAACTTACCCTTTTCTGTCTCCTCTTTTCCTCTTCTCCTAGTACAATCCTTTTTTTCACCCCTTAATTTTTTTCATCATCACACTGAAGTCAACTCATACCCACCACATCCTCTGTCTCTGTATACCCCTTCTAAATGTTGTAATAAAGATACAGTTCTCAAGAGTTAGAAGTATCATCTTCCCATGTAGGGTTGTAAACACTTCACCCTTGTTGAATAACATTTTTTTCCCTTTCCTGTTTACCTTTTTATGCCTCTCTTGAGTCTTGTATTTGAAGATTGAATTTTCTGTTGAGCTGTGGTCTTTTCATTAAGAAGGTTATTTCACTAAATGTCCATCTTCTCCCTTGAAAGATGATGCTCAATTTTGCTGGGTAGTTGATCCTTGGTTGTAATCCAAGCTCCTTTGCCTTCCAGAATATCATATGCCAAGTCCTCTGATCCTTTAATGTGGAAGCTGCTAGGTCCTGCTAATACAGGCTGTGGTTCCATGATATTTAAATTGTTTCTTTCTGGCTTGCAGTATTTTCTCCTTGACTGATAATTCTGGAATTTGGCTACAATATTCCTTGGTGTTTTCATTTTGGGATCTCTTTCAGGAGGTGATCGGTGAATTCTTTCAAGGACTAATTTACCCTCTGGTTCTAGGACCTCAAGGGCATTTTTCCTTGACAATTTATTGAAAGATGCTGTCCAGGATCTTTTTTTGATCATGGCTTTCAGGCACACCAATAATTCTTAAATTATCTCTCCTCGATCTACTGTCCAGGTCAGTTGTTTTTCCAATGAGGTATTTTACACTTTCTTCTATTTTTTCATCATTTTGATTTTGTTGGACTGAATATTGAAGTCTCATTGAGTCATTAGCTTCCACTTGTCCAATTCTAGTTTTTAACAAATTGTTTTCTTCAGTTAACTTCTTCAGTCAATTTCTATCCTTACTTTTCCAAGCTGTTGACTCTCTCTTGCATACCTCTCATATCTTTTCTCAATTTTCCCGCTACTTCTCTTACTTGACTTCTAAAATTCTTCCTGAGCTCTTCCAAGAAGGCTTTTGGGGCTTGGGACCAATTCATATTTCCCTTCGAGGTTTCAGAAGTAGAGGACAATGTTGTCCTCTTTAGAATTTGTATTTTAATCTTCCCTGTCACCATAATAATTATCTATGGTCAGTGTTCTTTTCTGCTTCCTGCTCAGTGTTTGCCTTTTTCCTGACTTTTAAAGTAGAGTTCTCCTGGTGGAGCGCAGGGGCACTATCCCAAGCTTCTTGTGTTGGGGACCAGGGGTGTGGTCACTGGCTTTGTGTGCTGAGGCCTCAGGCACTGGCAGCTGGGGGCTCTAGGGGTCTGGCAGCTTACGTGGTGCCGAGCTGGGTTCCTAGTGGGGGTGTCTGGCATATGCTGAGGCCAGGTGAGATTTTTCTTTATTTCCCCAGGGCTGCACTGAAGCATGAGGAGGTTTGGTTGCTGGAGCACACCTGCTTGCCTGGGGCTGTGCTGAAGCAGGGGAAGGTCTGGCTGCTGCAGGATGTCTGTCCACTCTAGGCTGCACTGAAGCACTTTGAGATCCACTACTGGAAAAAGCCTGCCTGTCCAGGGCTGCGCTGAATCACACGGAGGTCCACTGCTGGGGGACACCTGCCCACCAAGGGCTACGCACTGAACGTGGTAGTTCTCTGAGCTGGAGTCTGCCGGTTCCCCCTGGCTTTGGTAAGGAACGTGAGGGTGCTGGGTTTGGTGTCTGCCTGCTCCACCACCCTGGGGCTCAGGATCACCTTCTGGTTTGCTAAGGTGGGGCTTGCCATCGTTTGCTGGGATACTTCTTGTCCTGGAATACGCTCCCCTTTTACCTTAGTGAAATGGACCTTTCTTGCTGATCTTCCAAATTTCCTAGGCTAAGAGACTGCTCCACCCTGTCTTTCTGCTAGTTCTGCTGTTTCAGGATTTTTCCTGTTTCTGTTTTCCTATTTTCTGGGTTTTTTTTTTTTAAAGAGGTCAGAAAGGGAGAGTGATAGAGACTGCTTACTCTGCCATCTTGGATCCTGGAAGTCCTTGAGCACCATGGCCCATTTTAATGATGATTGTCAAAGTCCTACTCTAGCAGACACAGGTGAATTCAGTGCCCCTTGTTTCAGGCATTAAGAAGTAGAATGTAGGGATTTCAGGCAAGGCTTCATCAGCTATGACGCCTAGCTCAAACAATCAATCAGTCAATCAATATTTGCCAATTGCTTACCATATGCCAGAGACTGCTAGGGGTTCAAGTCTTCACCATGAGAAGAAGTTAATAACAAACCACCTACCTCCCAAAATGTAAAAAAATGCTTTGTAAATTATAAAATGTCATATAATGATAATAGCTAGTCTTTGTATAGACCTTTAAGGTTTGCAAGGCACTTTTACAAATGTTCCCTTATTTTATCCTCACAACAACCTTGGGAGGTAGGTATTATCATCATCATCATTCTCACTTTATAGATGAGAATACTGAGGCAGACAAAGGTTAAGTGACTTGCTCTGAGCTAATAAATATCTGAGGCCGCATTTGAACTCAGAATTTCTTGACTTCGTGCCCAGCACTTTATTCATAGCACCACCCAGCAAATTCTAAATAGTTATGGTCTGCACAATGTTGTACATATGTTATCTCATTCAATTACTACAATTACCCTGTGAGGTAGGTGCTTTTATGAATGTGAGTTACTATTAATAAAGCGAACTAAGGCAGATGAACTGTTCTCCTACACTGCTAATGCTACACCTCCCATAAAACAAAACCTGTGGTGATTTAAAAATCTCATCATCTTGGTACTTTTCCACATGCCACATGTATCCCCATAACTGATAGATTACAAGTAAAAGGGTGAACAAAAATATCTTTGGTTCTACCATCATTTTTTACTTTCCAAGGATAATTTCTAAATGAGAGGTGAACCTTAGGATAGAGAAGTTATATTGCTAAGAAGCTGGAGTGCTCTTTCTGAGGAAGTAAGGTTAGCATCTGGTGATACTTATTACAATCTCCAGGTGTGCCTGCCTGGGTGTTTTACTCAGAATACAAAATGCTACTACAAAAGAAATTTAATTAGAAAAGTGACCATCAACACAGCCACTATATAGGAATTTCAATCTCATGATAACATGAAAGATATTTTTTAATATTCTTTGGAATATTCTATGGAATTTGTTAAGAAAAGTTATAGAAAATTAGGACCTGACGTCATGTATGCAGAAGTTTCTTTTGAAAATGATTTTGTAGGCATTAAAGTGAGGCACTCCCCCAAATATCCTAGCATAAACTCTTTGATGTTTATGCTCCACACCTTTATAATTTTAGTGACTCCACACCTTTACAATTTTAGTAAAAAAATTAATGTGAGCATGTTGAAGCTAACACAAGAGGTAGCAATCATCCTGGAAGTAGAGTTGGGACTGACAGTCAGAAGGTCTCAGTTATATTAGTGTAACCACTTCTGCCATTGACTGATTAGGCAACCTTGGACAAATCAATCACATCACCTCTCTGAGACTTTTTTTTTCCATTTGCAAAAAAGAGGGAGTTGGAGTATCACGGTTCCTAAGGATGCTTAGTTGAACCTGTTCTATGATTAAAAAGGTCAATACGAAACATTGAGTGAGCGATGCAGAAATAATGCTCAGAAGTCAAATGGCATAAAACAAATATAAACATGATTTCTGGAGGAAAAGGAAATTGTTCAGGAAAAGGATATATTGGCCCTTAGATTCAGTAAGCAATTTCATGGAGACAAGCACGGTTGGGTCTAAAGGTCACTTAGTTACACATCCATCATTTTACTTTTTTCAAAACATGACAAATGACTGAAAAAGCATGTTGCCATCAGGGATTTCCCTCCCACTTTGCCCCACCCCCAAACAAACACAATTTCCAGATTATCTCCTAGGGTCTAGCAAGGACAGAACCCAGTGTCCTACACGATTTATCATTTGCAACTGTGGTTAGAGACACACCTAACCAGTAACTGATACTTAAAAAGGCAATCATCAATCACTTCCAGAGAAAAGGGAACTCACAAATCAAAGGGGAAGCAATTGAAGCCACAAGTTATTCAGCAAAATCTATGGCTGTCATGCAATCACAGGCAGTGAAGTCAATATGGAAACAGAAATAGCACATATGAATAGGGGCATAACAGTGAATACTCCGACAATACCTCTTGGGCCACTCCTCTAGCATCAGGGCTATCTAAATTAACCTGGCATATCAGGGCCAGAAGAGATCTGCTAATCTACCTGCTTGTCTTGGTGTGAACTGAGGACAAGTTTCTGTAGTATGATTTCCGTGTGAACTGCAGGCACAAAGCTGCAACAGTGTTGCAGAATATGTATCTGCGCGCACGTGTGTGCATGAGTGTGTGTGTGTGTGTGTGTGTGTGTCCTAGGTACCATATTCCACAAGGTTTGGGCTCCAAAAGGCTTGACCCTCCTTATGATTTCCCGGGAGAGTAGAGAGTGCCGTACGAAGGAGTCTGCTGATCTGTGTTCATCTGTGACTTGTAAAAGCAAGTAAAAAGGAACCTGGTCTGGTGAGGAAGTCTGGACGCACTTCAGCTGCCCAAGTGATGATTACTGCCCTACTTGAAATCTATTTCCAAACTGACAACTCTCCAAACTGCCAGGGACTGAATGGGAGTTTGTTTTTGGCAAGCACAAGGGAACTCTGTCCGTCTGAACGTGAGCCGGTCCTTGCAAATGACCAGAAAAGCAGAAGTGAGTAGAAGAAAAAAACACAGGTCTCACCAAGTTAGGAAACCTATGCTTTATTGTACAGTGCAATGAGTCTGGCTTTGGCGTTTGAGGACCTAAGTTCAAATCCTGCCATTGTTATCTACTCCGTGTACAACACTGAACAAATCCCTTACCTGTCTGGGACCCAGTTTCCTCAATAGCAAAATGGAATGGAAATGGACTGGATGGTCTCTAAGGACCTATCTACACCTAAATCTATGATCCCATATTTACCCCTATTATATTTCATCTTATTAAATTTATCTCATCAGTCTAACTCACTGTGATCTTTTTGAATCCTGGCACCCCCCAGCACAGTTTTGTGTCTTCAGCTTGGTGTGGAAGAACGAGTCTCCCTCTGAAGGGCTTCTCTCAGGGTAAGGGGTCAGCAGTTCCCAACTATCCAAGTTTCCCCAGTGAAATCAGCATGGTCAACCCCACAGCATGTACTCACAGGACTCAAAGAGAGAATAAGCTATCATTCATAGAGCATTTTAGGACTGCAAAGCACCCTTTCATACATCTCCTTGGATCCTGATGACCACCCTGTGAGGGTAAGTATGACTGTTTTCATTCTCTGTACCTACACTAATGGAAAGGACACAAATTCCTCACACACCCAGAGAAGAAAGGTTATTGCAATGACTGCAGGCTTCCCCCAACCTTTTTTGTGAGAAGGAAACACGTTACATTTCCCCAAATCCTTGAGATCATTTGTCAGGAGGATAGAAGAGGAGGAGTCCTATTGGTAAAGCCCTTGAATGGAGAGGGAAGGATCATCACTTCCCTGACCAGATGAAAATCTTGCCAACTGTGAAGTGGGCATGCCAGAAAATGGGCATGCTGGCAGCAACAGGGTAGGAACTTTCCAAAATCAGATTTTGAGATCCTGTAGTTAGAGATCCCTACACTACAGATCCTCACAGAGAACTAGCAGCAGGCTTTTGCAACAGAGATTTCCATTTATCTAGTGATGGAAATGACATTTCAAACACAGCCTTCTTTTTATAACTTTAAAAAAATCAACCAAGTGCACTCACTTTTTGGGATTTTTAGAACCTAATGTCCAATACTGAGCTAGGATACTTCTTTCACGAGATATTGTTTTCTTTGCCTGAAAAAATGTATGGTGGTCCACGCAGGATTTCCATAAGTTTTTGCAAGATCTATAATTTAGCATATTGAAGGCAATGATGTGCTCTCTGGCTTCATCCTGAGGGGGAAAACAATCTTGATTTAGTCTGTGCAAAAAAAAAAATAATAATATTGGTAAAACACATCAATTCCTATTGTAATTACTCCCAAATAGGTAAGAATTGATAACACTATGCACTGTACCAACAAGTAAAACAGACACCTCTAATTTCCTGGAGGGAAGGTCAGGATAAAAAAAAGCACTATTTCCGCACTTTTAAGTTGGTTTTGCTTAAATTACACGACAATACAGCCTCTATGACAAGTGACGATGATAAACCTTCATTAATCTGAAGACCACATTCTTTCCTCTTCTCCTTAGGACTTCCTCTACCCTACCAAAGAAACTTACTCCACCCTGGACTCCTGACAATGGAAGTGCCCTTTGCCCCTACAGCCTCTCTCTCTGATTTGCTAGTTCCTCTCAGAACCTCCATTTTAAGTAGGAGGCCCAGACCAACTATGTCTTCATTGTTCTCCAGGCTGTACTCCTGACTCATCTCCACAGGACTTTCTCTACCCTGCCCCTAGCTCAGCCATGGCCATCTTCCCACCCCCACACGGCTTCCTTTTATGTGTTTTGTCTCGTTAGAATGTAAGCTCCGTGAAGGTATGGGCTGTCTTTTTCTCTAGTTTTTTTTTTTTTAATTCTCAACACTTACCACAGTGCCTGACGCAACTTTGCCATGTAGGCTTCACGTGTATGAGGTCTATAAGTGGAAACTCAACTACCTTCTATGCAAGCAACCCAACTTCAGATTCCCAAATGATTAGATGATTGCAGGGAAAAAAAAAAAGGTTTGCTTAAGACTAATAGACCCTTAAGCTAGTGGATCCACTCAAAGAGAACGATAAATAATTTCTGTATTGTGGGAGTTCCACGTGGATTGGCATGTTTGTATATGTGCGTAATAAAGGAAACAAATGGTATACGTATAATAAATGAAACAAATATTTATACAGAAAAAAGTCCTCATACATGTTTTCTATGTATATGAATGTTAAATTCTTTTTTTTAACCAAAAGGAAAAAGGAATAACATTATCTTTATTTTGCTCATGTCAGAACCTGTTCTGTGGCTTATTTATCGAAGTAAAGAGATCTAAGAAACATTAGTAGAATTGAAACCAATGATGTAATGAGAAATGCTAATTGGGAGAAAAGAACAGTGTTCCTATGATAATAGGAAGGCTGGGGAAGGTTGGGTAAGAGGACAGGACTGGTAGTGTTATCACTGTGCTTATTAAGTACCTACCATGTGCCAGGTACTGAGTTAAAGACTGGGGATATGAAAAACAAGTCTGTTGTCAAGGGGACAGGCTTGTTTAATGGGGAGACAATATGAGAGCAACTATGTATAAACAAGATATGCTGCTGTTTAGTTGTTTTTCAGCGGTATCTGGTTCTTTGTGACCTCTTCTGGGGTTTTCTTGGCAAAGATACTGGAGTAGTTTGCCATTTCCTTCTCTAGCTCATCCTACAGATTAGGAAACTGACGCAGACAGAGTTAAGTGACTTACCTAGGTCACACCAGTAGTGCCTGAGGCTGGATTGAACTCAGGTCTTCCTAACTCTCTAGGCCCAGCACTCTACTCACTGCACCACCTGGCTGCCCCACAAACAAGATACATACAAGATAAATTGGGGGTAGTTTCAGAAAGAAGATGCCATTAAATAGGCCTGGGAAAGGTTTCATGCAGAAGACGAGACTTAAGTTGGTACATGAAGGAAGCCCAGGAAGCTGGGAGGCAGAGATGAGGAGAGAGGGAGGGAGTGAGAGGAGAAGGAGGGGAGAGAGGGCAGGGGAGGAGTGCCAGGCATAGGGGTCTCCATTAATCCACAAATGCTCAGGATGACAGGAGGTCAAAGCTGTAAGGAAGCTCGGGGATCCTTCAGATCAAGCCTTTCCTCTTAAAGTCCAAAGTGAGGCCCAGAAAGAATCAGGGACTTTATCGATCCTTGGTTTGAGGTACAATCTTGTCGAGGCGACCTCTAACTTAATAGTGCCTGAATAACTAACACTGAAAGACATATAATAAGCTAAAGACACACGATAAGCACAATAAACTTGGATCGACTTACATGCTTGTGGTGTTGCTGTATAAAAAACTTTTTTCTTTTGAAGGAGATTTTTAGGATGTTCATCCTATAAAGAAAAGACAGTATCGCTCATCAATGTAAGTAAAATCACAAGCTTCATGACACAAACACTTCGCAAATTAAATGAAATACTCTCCATTTCCCAAAGAGATTTTACATGAGCAATGGTAGAGGCAGTAACATCTTAGCCAACAGTAAGAAAAGGCTGAATAAAGGTAGACAGTAGAGCTGGCCCATTAAGTTTTAATGAAAAAATAAACGTCAAATTACCAGCAGTGAGCATTAGATAAAACGCTCTTCTCCATGAAATCCCTATCTTTTGATCACTCCCATTTATTGAGGGCTGGAAGGTTTAGAGAACACTTTAGTACCAGAAATCTTAGGAGGTGAGTATAAGCTTCAGTCTATCCACTTTTCAAATGAGGAAACTGAGGCTCAGAGAAAGGATAATTGATTTGCCCAGGAGACAAAAAAATACTAAGTATTAGAGGTGGGATTCAAATTTAGGTAACCTAACTCTATGACCAAAGCTTTCCATTACACCATGGCTTGGCAGTACAACAGATAGAGCGTTGGACTTGGAATCACAAGACCTGAATTTAAATCCAGCCTTAGACACTTACTAGCTGTGTGACCCAGGGCAAGTCATTTAACCTCTGCCTCAGTTTCCTCAACTGAAAAGCGGGGATACCAGCACCTACCTCCCAGAACTGTTGTGAGGATCAAATGAGATAATGATACAAGAGTTTTGCAAACTTTAAAATACCTTATAAATGCTAGCTATTATTATAATCAAAATTCTTTAATTCAAAAAATATTTATTAATCACCTAGTCTATGAACTATACAAGGGGAAACCAAAAAGAGAAACCACATAGATCCGAACCTCCAGAACCTTATTCTGGAGAGGGGTTACAAACGTGGACATGGATAAGTAAAGAGAAAACAATGACAGTCTGGGAGCTTTGGAAAGCTTCCCAAAGAAAGTAGCACCGGAGTTCGGTTTGATATGTGGATGAAGATTCTGAGAGGCAGAAAGGAGAAGACTGCGCACACCAGGCATAGGAGATGTCAGTCGTGAATGTATGGATTACGAATGCTAAATTCAAACAAAAGCTAAGGAGCCTGCTTTGTCTGTAACAGAAAGTGCATGAAGGTGAGTAATAGGAAATAAAATCTAGAAAGGTACGTGTTAGGTAGGGAAGGGCTTTAATGCCAAGTAGAAGCATTTCTATTTTATCATGAGACAATCAGAAGCTATATAAGATTTATAAGAAGGGGAAGGAGAGTTAGAAAAATTACTTTTGGGGGCAGCTAGGTAGCACAGTGGATAAAGCACCGGCCCTGGAGTTAGGAAGACCCTAGTTCAAATTCGGCCTCCAACACTTGACACTTACTAGCTGTGTGATCCCGGGCAAGTCACCTAACCCCACTGCCTAGCCAAAAAAAAAACCAAACCAAACCAAAACAAAACAAAACAAAAAAAACAGAAAAAAAGGAAATTTCTTTAAAAAAAAAAAGAAAAAAATTACTTTTGGTAGTTATGGAGAAGATGAATTAGAGAAGACCAATTAAAAGGCTATTATGAAAGGTACACTAACACACTGTTGGTGGAGTAGTGGACTGGTCCAGCCATTCTGGGGAACAATTTGGAACTATGACTGAAGGGCCATAACACTGTACAATTTTTGACCCAGCAATAACCATTACTATGTCTATATCTCGAAGAGATCAAAGGAAAAGGACTTATATGTAAGGGAATATTTATAGCAGCTCTTTTTACAGCGGCAAAGAACTGAAAATTGAGGGGATATTGATCAATTGGGGAATGGCCAGACAAGTTGTGGTATATGACTGTGCTGAAATACTGTTATGCCAGAAGAAATGACAAACAAGACAATTTCAGAAAAACCAGGGAAGACTTATAGGAACGAATGCAAAGTGAAGTGAGAAGCACTAGATCACTGTGCACAGAAACAACAATGCTGTAATGATGATCAACTGTGAAAGCCTTGCCTACTCTGATCAAGACAATGACCCAAGACAATCCCAAAGGACTCATGATGAAAAAATGCTATCCACCTCCAGAGAACTGATGAACTCCGAATGCAAAATAAAGTACAATTTTTTTTACTCATTTTATATTTTTTTTGCTATTTTTTTTGCAACATGGCTAATACGGAAATCTTTTGCATGATTTCTCATGTACAATTGATATCATATTGCTTGCCTTCTCAGTGGGTAGGGGAGGGGGTGAAAGAGAGGGAGAGAATTTGGAACTCAAAATTTAAAAAGAATGTCAAAAATAAATAATATTCTTAAAAGTTTTTTTTTTTTAAAAAAAGGCTGTCATAATAATCTAAGTGAGAGGTAATGAGGGTTTGACCTAGGACAGTGGCAATCCAAGTAGAAATAAGGGGACAGGTGTGAGGGGTGTTACAGAGATAGAAATGACAAAGTGAAGAGGTCAGGATGATGCTGAGGTTGAAGACCTCAGTGACACAAAAGTTGGTGATGCCTTCAACAGAAATAGGGAAGTTTGTAGGAGGATCCAGGTTAGAAGGGAAGATCCTGAATTTCATTTTGAAAGTGCTGAGTTTAGAATATTGATAGGTCATCCAGTTGATATCCAGAAGGCAACTGACAGTGCAGGACTGGAGTTTACCAGTTTTCTTTTGGACAGCACCATCTGGACATCCCTTAGGCATGTCTAATTCAAGATGCCAAAAATTCCTACTCAACCCACCCCTCCATCAAACTTTACTATTTCTCACAATGGCACTACTATCCTTCCTGGCACTGAAGCTTGGTTGGTGTCATCTTTCACACTCTACTCTCCTTCAATCAACCCCATCCCCCCCATTCAATTTGTTGACACATCTCATCAATTTTACATCCACACTTGTCCCTTTTCTTCACTTTCTGGGCCCTCATTGCCTCTCACTTGGACTATATCCACTCCTAATTGGACCCCTGGCTTTTACTTTCCCCTCTTTATAACATATGCCAAAATAATCTAAGTCCCATAGTATTATTCCCTTGCTAAAGGACTTTCAGTCATTCTCTACGGCCTCTAGGATAAAAATACAAATCTCCTAGTTTGGCATTTAAAACCGTTCACAATCTGTCTGCAGGCTTACTGACCCTCTCCAGGCTTATTTATCATCACTCCGTTTCATGACCTCTATGTTTTGGACAGACTATCCTATTTACTGTTTCTCAAACTCTGGTCTTCATGGCCTTTGCCCTGATGATAGAATGCACTTTCTTTTCACTTCTGCTGTTTAGAATTCCTGGTTTCCCTCAACACTCAGTTCCTCCTACAGGAAACCTTCCTTGATCCCTTCCAGCTGTCTCTAGTGCTTTCTCCCTTCTTAAATGATCATCTATTTTCTTGTTTGTGTAAGTGTTGTTTCCCTCCAATAAAAAAAAAACTCCCTGGAAGCAGAGACTATTTTTTTGTTGTGTTTCCTGGGCACCTAGCAGTCAATGCTTTGTGAAAATGAAATGCTTCACAGAGCCTTGTTGAATTGGACAGGAAAATCCTTAAGGCCGTTTAGCCAAATATAAGTAATCAATAAAAACTTCTGGTTATTTGATCTGGCAAAAGTTTGGCCTGGTAATGAGGCTGTAATCTACAATAAGATATTTCTTTACTTTTTTAGGAAGTACAATTTTAATTAAGAGATAGCAATGCTTTAGTTCAGCACACACTTCGAAGCACAATTCAGAAAATAATTAGAAGTAAATTCATTTTACCAAGGATAGAAACTTGTGCAGATATGTTTGCGGTAAACGGCAATGCCAGCTGCAGCAACTCCAATCGTCAGATCTAAATTATGTAGATCCTACAAAAGGAATATAGTATATTAGCAAAAAGCAGTCCTAGTCAAGCTTAGGAAAGCCTTTCATTTGAAATATTCCATATATTTACAAATAGTAACCTATACATTAACAGTGGAGAAAAAGTCATTACTGAAAAACAGCAAGGCTTAAAGGAAAAAGTCAAAATATCCCTAGTTCTACACTGTCTCCTTTAAATTCTACTGACACATTCCAGAGCTGAGAGGAATCAGGGGGTCCATTCTTTCTGAACATTCTCATACAGAATCCCAACAGGTTTCAGATGATTTAGAGCTATAGAGCCCTAATAATTTAAACATTTTGAAGGCAGGGACTCTTTATATCATCTTTGACTACACTGCGCCTTGCTTTAAAAATATTTTCTAATCTTTTAGTCCAACTTTATTAACTGACATATGGGGAAACCGAATTCCAAAGAGATGAACTATTCTTCCTGAGGTCACATACTTAGTAAATAGCAGAGACTTAATTCTAAATCAGGTCTTCGGTCTCAAATTCAGTATACCAAATTGTAGTGATGATTCCTATGTTATTTTTGTTAATATTAATATTTTTAAATTCCAACACTTAATCTTAAAAATCATACAATTACACATTCAATTATACTTTCACGGCAAATTAAATTAGATTCTATTAGAAAAAATATTAAACACCTATGTATAAAACATCATGTCAGGTAATGAAGATTCAGAGAAAAGAACAGTTTCTGCCATTAAAGTTTGCTTTCTGTGGGAGATATAATATACAACAGATAAGTAAAGGCAAAGCTTACAGAAAGCAACATGAAATAATGTAAAGATGGTGGAACACGATCAACTTTAGTTGATAATGAAAAGCATCATGTATTAGGTGGCCCCTGAGTTGTGTTACAAAGGAAGTTATGGGGGGCAGCTAGGCAGCGCAGCGGATACAGCACCAGCCCTGGAGTCAGGAGGACCTAAGTTCAAATCCAGCCTCAGACACTTGACAATTACCAGCTGTGTGACCCTGGAGAAGTCACTTAACCCCATTGCCTAACCAAAAATAAATAAATAATTAAGGGAAGTTATGGATTACAAGAAGTCAGGTCAAGAAAGGAGTACAATGGTATAATCCACCTATGCAAAGGGTTGGAAGCAAGAGACAGAATGTGATGGAAAAGTGAATGGGTTGGTCTGACGAGAATAGAGAGTGCATAAAGGGGAGTACTATCAAATAAGACAGAAAAGGTAGGAAGAAACTATATTGTGAAGCACATTAAATGCCAGACTGACAACCTCTGTTTCATTCTAGAAACAACAGTAAGCTACTGATGATTACTGAGTAGGACAGTGACAAAGATTTTGTTTTAGGAATATCAATTTGGTAGCTACTTAGAAGATGGATTGGAGAAAAAAATCCAGACTTTTGCCCATTATTAAAAATGTTTGTGATAGCGTGGGAAGACCCATATGAACTGGTACACTGAAAGTAGCAGAACCAGAAAACCAAGGTATACAATGATTATAACAGTGTAAAAAGAAAGACCAAAAAACCAGAATGCTGTGCAATTACAGTGACAAAGTTTAGTCCCACAAAAGAGTTGGAAAAATACATCTCCATCCCTTCTTTTGCTGAGGTGGAAGGCTACAGGTGTACAATACTGTATATTCTGTCACACATAGTTGAGGTGCTGGTTGATTTTTGCTGATGCTTTCTATCTTTAAAAAAAAAAACTTTGTTAAAAAGTATGGTTTGATGAATGGGAGAGGAGGAAGACATACAGTTTAAAAAGATGTTGATGTAAAAACAAAATATCAATAAAAGAAAGAATAAAAAACAAAAACTTCTAATTTTAATACTACCATGCTTACAGGTAAAAAAAGGACACCTTAGCAATAATCCTGTTTCCTCTTAATTCCCTACCAAAACCCAGAATTGAAAAAATATTTTATCACAGAATTTTAGAGCTAGAAGAAACTCCAGAAATCATTTAGTTCAACCCTTTCATATTAGACGCAACTAGGGGCAAAAATGTTAAGAGGGGAATTTGGCTGAGTGAAATCTGGAATACATAACATTTTTAAAAGTATGGATTGTTAATGTTTTAGACATATCTAATACTGTAAATATTGAAAACCCAATAATCTTAAAGTAGAAGGAGAAAAACTTTTGTTCTATCAAGGTTAACCAACTCATTGCAAGAGAGGAAAAACCCTATTATTTACAAGGAAGATACAAATTAACTTGGTTTAGTTTTGAATTAGTTTTGTTTTGTTTTGATGGAGAAGAAAAAAGTAGGAGAGCTGGATGAGAAAGCAAGCCACAGAAACGGACTGGCAAAAACAGAGCAAGAGATGCAGATGGAGCGGCCATGCAGACATTCATGGCACCACTTCACCATCTTGTGGCCTTTAAGGATATTGCTACCAAGGACATTTAAATGAAAAGACCCCTGGGTTTGAAGCCTATGGGATTCATTATGCTCAAGAATCTGTTTTGAAGGGAACTGTGCATTTTTGTGTATTTTTATATATAACAACAGTAAGTCAAGAGAATAGAAAACAATGCAATAGTCGTTACCCTCAGAACTTATACTTTATGAGTATGGAGTATATATATAAATATGTATAGAATGAATATATAAAGAATAATACAAGGTGGCATGGTAGGTAGAGTGCCAGGAAGACTCTTCTTTCTAAGTCAAATCTGGCCTCAGACACTTACTAGCTGTGTGACCCTGGTCAAGTCATTTAATCCTGTTTGCCTTAGTTTCTTCATCTGTAAAATGAGACGGAGAAGGAAATGGCAAACCACTGCAAGTATCTGTGCTCAGGAAACCCCAAATGGCTCACGAAGAGTCAGATACGACTGAAATGACTAAATCACAACAAATTAAATATAAAATGGTTAAGTTAAGATGGCACTCGAATTTGAAGGCTTCATGTAGGAAGCAGTGCTTGGGCTGCATTTTGAAGGAACAGAGGGATTTTATGAGGCACGGGGTGAGAGAAAAGGGATGGCCAGTGCAAAGGCACACAAAGGAAGATGACAAGCCGCGTGTAACAGAGAGAAGCAGAGGAGAGGCAGTGATGTCCAACAAGACTGGAAAAACAGGCTGAGGCCACGTAGAGGACTTCAAAACCAAACTGAAGGATTTATGTTTTATTGTAGAAGCAACAAGAAGTTGCTCTAGTTTATTGAGTAGAGGAACAACATAATAAGAGTTGTATTTAAGGAAAATCACTTTAGTACCTTGAAGAGGATGGACCAGAAACAACAACATAACAGCAGTCACCACCCAAAAAAACTGAAGCCAAGAAGCCCCTTAGGAAGTCATCGCAATAATTCAGGTGAGATGATAAGGACTTGAACTAAGGTGGTGATGGCTATCTATGTGATGAGAAGAGGGCAGAGAAGGGAGCTATGGTGGAGGCAGAAACAGCAATAGCCAGGTGTGGAAGGGGGTGCGTCTCAGGACATAAGATAATGAGAATGGCCTTGGATGCCATGAATTTGCTAGAACAGCTAGGACTGGAGATCGGGAGATTAGCTTTATCGATCTGGGAGTCATTTGTATAATGGAAACCCATGGAAACTGATGAGATGACCAAATAAGAGGGAACAGAGAGAAAAGATAAGAGGGTCAAGGACAGAGTCTTCGGGCACACTCAGTTAGTGGGTGTGAGATACGGATAATGACCCAACTAAGGAGACTGACAGGCGGTTACAGAGGGAGGAGAAGGTCCAGGAGAAGAGTATCCAGGGGTGCTCAACAGTGTCAAACGAGACATAATGGTCAAGAAGAATAAGGACTGAAAAAAGACCATCAGATCTGACAATTAAGAGAGCAACTTCAGAGAGTTCAATTTCAGTAGAACAATGAAGTTGCAAGAGTGTGAAGATGGGGGTCTGGAAAAGGGAGGGAATAAGTATTTATAAAGCACCTACTATGCTAGGCACTGTGCTAAGTGCTTTTACAAATATCTCATTTGTTCTTTGGAACAACCCTTGGAGGTAGGTGCTATTATTACCTCCATTGTACAGCTGAGGAAAACTGAAAGCAAATAGAAGTTAAATGACTTGCTTAAGGTCACACAGCTACTAAGTATCTGAGATTAGATTTGAACTCAGGTCTTCCTGACCCTAGGTCCAATACTCTATCCACTGTGCCACCAGCTACCTCTGGCAAAGTTTTGAACAGTTTGAGAGGACATTCAATACTCCAGTTTGGGTAATGCATAGGGTACTTTACAGGGCAGTATCACAGGGTCATAGATTTAGGGACCTTAGAGATCATCTAATCAAACTCTCATTTTACAGATGAAGAAACTGAGGCCTAGAATACTTGACTCCCCAAGGTCACATAGCTCATACTAGGCCTAGGTAAGATAAGAAGAAAAACCACTGATTAGGAAAACTTTCTGATAAGAGTCTGATATCCAAAGATATAGAAGAGGTTAATAAAAATATATATGACCCAATGGGTGAATGTCAAAGTATATTAACAAATAGATCCCCAAATTTCAAACTATTAAAATTATCATGTGAAAGACAGATCCAAATGACTAATAATAAGAGAACGGCAAATTAAAACAACTGAATAATTTACTTCACCATAAGAAACAACAAATATGAAGAATTCAGAGGAACATGGGAAAAATTATATAATGGAGTCAAGCTAAACTAATCAGAACAATAATGCACACAATATAAATGGGAAGAGTAATAAATTGGTAATGAATAATGCACAATTAAAATAAAACACTTGGCCCTAGAGAATAGCTGAGAAAATCTACTTCCCCCCTTTGGTACAAAGGTTGGGGAATGTAGATGTAGACTACTACATATATACTGGCAGCATGGAAGGCAGCTAGCTAGGTGGGTAGTGCATGGAGTGGTAGAGTCAGGAAGACCCGAGATCAAATCCTGCCTCACACACTTATCTGTGTGACCTCAAACAAGTCACTTAACATCTCTCAGTCTGTTTCCACACGTGTAAAATGGGATAATCATAGCAGCTACC